ATTATTCCTTACTTCCTTACTCCCCTCTCACGGATGGTATCGCCCATGATCAGTCAAGCGTTAAAAATCTTTGACAGAAATCCTTTGTGTTTCGGCTCCAACTTTTTTTTCACCACCCGAGGCATAAAATGTGAATTTACGCCTACAATACACGCGCACGCGTGCGTGCGACCACACCCGCGTGTGCGTGTCCGGGCGTGTGTCTGTGTGTTTTTATGACTGTAAATACGCGTATATTATAGCCGTATATCCACATGTTGTGATTTCGGAGTGAAAAAGTTTGAGTCGAAACACAAAGACTTTCTGTCAATGTTTTTTCACGCTTCACTGGTCGTGGGCGATACTATTTGGAGGAGGGGGAGGCATAAACTTACGGGAAGGGAGTGAGTATATATATAATGTGAAGGCGCGTGCACGTGCGTGCATGTGTGTGTGTGCGCGCGTACGTGAGTGCGTGCATGTCCGTGTGCGTGCGCACGTGCGTGTCTGTGTGTGCGTGCGTGTGTGTGAGTCGCGCGTGCATGCGTCTCTGTGCTTGCGTGTGTGTGCGCGTGCGTGCGTCTCTGTGTGTGCATGTGTGCGTGCGTGTGTGAGTCGCGCGTGCGTGCGTCTCTGTGTGTTCGCGTGCGTGTGTGTCTGTGTGCGTGTCGAGTTTTTCTCGTATGTCATAAGTTCTCCATAAGTATAACTGCATTTTTTTTCACGCGAACGCGTTGCCATGGATACACGTCTGCTAATTAACTGCCAACAAAAAGCACGTGATTGTAATCGAACCATTATCATTATTTTATTGATACATGATATATTATATTTATTATAATCATTATTAATATTATTATTATTATTATAGTCATCATGGTAATATTTTCATCGTTTCGAAAATACAAATAGCTTTGAAAACACAATCGATCTTAAGAGGCCCGTTCGTCACTACGTCGCCCACGACATTCTACACGTTCTCTTGTCTTGACGCCAACTTAGTAACCATTCTTACCGCCAGGTTGCACTCCTGCTTACCGAAAGTTCGCAAATTTTTCTCGAAATCAAGTCCCGTTCGATGGAATTTGATTTGATTTCCTACATTTCCAATTATTTTTTCCCAATTTTTCGTGCTGGTTGAAGCCGAAAGATGGCGCTACGGACGATCGTGCCTCGCTCACTCTCTCTCTAATATAATTATTTACATTTGGTTTTACATTTACGTCCAATTCTAGCGAATCTATAATTATTTCACACTCACGCACACACACAAATGCACGCACGTACGCACGCACGCACGCACGCACGCACGGACACATAATATATACGAGAATTATAAAACTGCCAGCAGCCAGTAATAATTATATAATAAAGATAATCCTATCAAACGACGGCGACGCCGCGGCCTGACGGCGGCCGCTAGGGGGACCGCGTGTCGAGCGCGCACGCTCCGCATCTCCACTTCCCCGGAATCGCGACTTCTAAGCCGATGCAGGGCGACGCGAATAATTACCGGTGTTTAATTAATTAATTAACGAAGAGGCAATTAACAGTTCGTACGTGCGCCGCCGGCCGGTCGTACCGACACAAGTCGTGCGGATTCAACATTTAACAACAACGACCCCCGCAGGCCGAAATGCAAGCAGACGACATTCGACAGGGGTCAGCGACCGGTCAAGACCGGTGACGTCACGCACTCACTGGGGTCAGCGACCGGTCAAGACCGGTGACGTCACGCACTCACTGGGGTCAGCGACCGGTCAAGACACAACATAGAGGGCACAGAGATCGCAAGAGTTGTTCCGCGCTCAGTCGAACTACGTGACAACAACAACAACAACAACAACAACAACAACAGCAACAACAACAAGAGCTACGCACACAGCAGTAAGAGTTTTTTTTTGACTACGACAACGGAAACGGTGAAGCCAGCGCTAATATTTCGCGAATTTCCGCAGCAAAAATCCTATCCTATTGATCTATTGATCCATCGATTTATCGTACGACGACAAAATTGATTATGGGAGAGATCCGATCGCAGATGCACGCCTGTCTCCCTAGCAACGGTGCGACAAACAACGCTGACGACACCATAATGTGTGCTCATCAACCGCGACAATGATCTACTGACTAAAAAACCAACAACAAATAACAACATCTTCCGTAGCATCAGCAGCAGCAGCAGCATCCGCATCAACATCCGCATCCGCACCAACATCAGTAGTAGCAGCAGCATCAGCAGCATCAGCAGCATCAGCAGCAGCATCACCAGCATCAGCAGCAGCAGCATCCGCATCAACATCCGCATCAGCACCAACATCAGCAGCAGCAGCAGCACCAACATCAGCATCAGCAACATCGCCCCCACAGCATCAGCGGCGCCCCCCGGTGGCGAATCAGAACAGCTCGTCATTCTCGTCGTACATCAGACAGGAAGCCTCCTCCTGCTTCACACAGGTCTTCCGGGATTCTTCCCAGTAGAGACCGGTCGGACAGGGAAGCAGGAAGCCACGGCCGCGGTCGCACTGACGGTACATCGTACAGTAGCTCGGGTGGAGGTAGTATCCGTCCGGTGTCGATCCGCAGCTGAACTTGAGCGAGACTGAGGAGCGAGAGATAGAGAGAGAGACCGGTGAGAAGTCGTGAATAAACTCCATATATAT